AACCGGAGTTCCACACGGGATCCCGGGTCTACCTGAGCACCCAGAACCTAGCACTACCCAAGGGTCGTGCTAGGAAGCTGATGCCTAAGTTCATCGGGCCTTACACGGTGATGGCGTGTAACCCTAGCACATCCAACTACACGTTGGAATTGCCGCAGGAACTCAAGGACCGACGCATCCACCCGACGTTCCATGTCTCCTTGCTGAGAAGACATGAACCCAACGACGATAATCTGTTCCCTAACCGGGAAGCCAGATCGTTCTACGACTTTGGCGACGACGACCAGCACGAGTGGCTGGTCGACGAGATCATCGGTCACCAATGGGATGGCAACCGCATCGAATTCCACGTACGGTGGACGCTCGGTGATACGTCCTGGGAGCCGTACGCTCATTGCAAGGACTTGGCGGCACTCGATGAGTACCTGACCCTTCACGGTGCCAAGACGTGGCGAGCCCTTCCCAAGAAGGCTCGCAAGTAAGTACACTACCACTGCGAAGTGGTAATGTACGCTGAGCAGATAGGACGACACGACCACCGCTCAGGTGGTCGTGTCTGGGACGAGCAGTGGCTGGAGACGCTGGAGACGGGGCTTCCTACCGAATTTGGTAGGAACGCGCTGCGAGGAGTCAGGTGACCGCGGCTGGCGCCAACAAAGCCACAACATTTGCCGCCGTCACGTCTCAACTACCACTACTACCTACACCGCCAACTCACCGCACCCCACCTCACTATGAACACCAACGACTCTACTGCGCCCCACAACACCTCGGCCGCACCACCTACTGGTGGTGCGCCCGCACAGACGCCGCCGCCGTCGTCGGCATTGCCGCCGACGTCGCCGACGCTGTCCGAGCTGCGGGTTCCCCCGCACCTCGACGCACCGGTCGTCCTCAGCAATGAGGCGGCTATGATGATGCAGGTCGAGCACGGCGCTCCGACCGCAACCGCGCAGTACCAGTTTGGTACTGCAAACGCGGGCAGCATGCTGCTCGCGCCCAGTGGCACCAACTGGGTGCCCTACTTCCCCGTGACGCCGCTGGCGACACACCCCACCAGCCTCTGCGGCATCTGCGAGGCCTTCGTTCGCCACCTGCCCCGCAGCGGTGGCGACGCCGCCTACCAGCGTGTCGCTGAGAACCTGGCCGTCCACATGCGGACGGAAGTGGCCCACTCCCTCACGCAGGAGGGTTGGCTGCAGGGGGGGAGGGACCTGGTTGACGCGTTGCGTAACCAGGCATCTGTCAACGAACAGATTATCGCGAGCCTGCGCGAGCAGGTCGAGTTCGCCACGCAGTCGGAGCAGGCGATGCGGAGGAGGCTCGCGGACGAAGAAGCCAGGGTGAAGCGGAGGGACGAACACGCCCGGCGACTCGTCGACGACATCGCCGACCTCCACGACGATGTCGCGTACTACCGACGACGGCTGGACGACCGCCAGCACTCGCCACGCCCCGCCACGCCGCCTCCAAAGGAGACGACGACGAACGAGCCCGTCGAGGAGGCTCGGCAAGACTACCCGGCGGCGTCTTCGCAGACGCAGCCCACCCCAGCGCTGGCCCCGCAACCATCGCGGTGGCCAACGCCGGAGGCATCTTCGCAGATGCCAACGACCCAGCCGTACGACCCCATGACGGCGGACTGGGACGACTTCCACGAGAGCGACGACGACGACGACGACGACGCCGACGAGGAGAGTCGCCGCCTTAAGAACGCCGTGGTCACCCACCGGCTGAAGGGCAAGGGCAAGGCCCGACCGATCAACACCAGTACCCTGGCGAGTACTGGTGCTCCCCCGACGGCCCCGGCAAACTGGCCGTCGGAGGCCCCACTGCCGGCCAACTCGACCGCCCTGCAGGCGGGCGAGTGGCACAACTACATTCCCCGTAGTCGTGCAGAGGCGGAAATCATCCGTCGCCGGGCCTTGGTCGACGAGGAGGCGAGATTCCGGGTGCGGGATCTCATCCACCAGGCCCACCAGGATGGTAGACTGCGAGCGGTCGAGGGGATGCGGTGGTTGATGCAGCAGTGGCGGCCCCCACGCGCGACGCAGGAGCAGGAGTCCATGGACCTGGCCCGGGCCATGCAGGAGAGTCAGGAGGAGCACCGGCGCAGGGCGAACGCGCCGCCACCAGGAACGGCGGGTGCGGGACCGTCGAGGAGTTACGCCGCGGCACCGGAGGCAGGACCATCGACGGGGCCAGGCCCAACCGCACCGTCGACGACCACGGCGACGTGGTCGACAACGGGGGCTGCGTCGGGCAAACGACGAGAGAGGTCGCCGGCGGGACGAACGGCCACCGCCCCACCCAAGAAGAAGTCGAAGGGTAGGCTGGCCCAACCGACGAACATGTCGACGGCCTTCGAGTGGCGCGAGTGGTACCGGGTCAACCGCGACCGCATACCCTTGGGTATGCGGGTCGACCGTGGAGGTCGACCGAACGTCGACGACGTCGAGGCGTTACACCTCACTCGTCGGCTGGCTCCAACGACGACGCAGTCGCGTCGTCCTTGGGAGGTGGCCACGGGTCGCCTGTTCTCGATCCCGGGCCTGTACCACCGGCTGGTACAGGAGGGGGCCTACCCGCTGGGAGACGGGCGGGCGGCCATCGCGTTCCCCGCGACGCTCGCCGACATCACGATCTTTGATGTCGCGCGTTGGTTCTCACGGATGGGCTACCGACCGGACGAGGTAGGATTCCTCGAGGAGTTCTACCGGCGTCGCAGGAACGAGCACGAGGGGAGGGCGATTGACACGGCGGCTCCGTACTCCACGTACCCGTCCGCCATGGGCGATGTGATCGACGAGCACGTCGTTCACATCAATGACATGCCCCCCATCCCCGCGAACGTCTACATCCCCACGGGCGTCGTCGCCCCCGACGTCGACATGGACGACGACGCTCAGGCGATGAACGCTCCGGGCGATGAGCAAGGCGAGTAGCTGCCTTCGGCCAGCTTCGCGCATCCGGTTCGCATAACTCCATCGAGTTATGTATGATGGCGGTGGACGGCCGTGCTGCTCACTGGCGCGAGCTTGCGAGTCGTTGCCTACAGTACGGCACCGCCCCTGTCTTGCCAGTCGCCACCACCGTTGTGTCGTCGCGTGAATTTCATTGTACATTTATTCTACTATACTATCTGTGTGGACCGTGGAACGGGTCCAAGGGGGGAGAGTGTAACGTGGATACGTTACATTCACGTATTTACCATATCCGGACATATCATGTATCTACGATCGCGTGCGTAGGCGCCGTCCCTTAAGGGCGGCGCCAGCGAGTGTGGGAGCCAGCTCTCTTACACTCGTCACCGATACCGCACCACTCTGGAATAGAGACTGGGTGCAGCGTATCACGGCGTGAGTAAGGGGGCGCCACAGTTGTCGAGCGTGCAGATGACGCCGCGGTCCCTGCAATATGGTCAAATGAAGGCGACCGTCGTGACATAAAGCAGCGTTACGCACCCCTGCGCAAGGCAGTACTTGATGTGGTTCAACGTCGAGTAGATGAACACGCTGGAGTCGTCCCAAGCACCAGACTTGATGCGAATCGTTTTGTGAATGAGGGTGCGCTCCGAAAAGTTCTTCGCGACGGTGATCGCTGTGGAATGCTCATCAACGGGACATCAGAGTGTTATGTGCCAGATACGTACTATGCTTGCTGAGGAGGGCGACCAATGTACCGTCCGGCCTCCATACAACGTACTTGACCGGCGGAGTAGTGATCTCCACACGCTTCTTCTGCTATTGGATATCGTAAAGTAGGATTGACGTTGTCGAGCTGAGGATGAGGCTCGCGGTGCCACCATAGAAGAACTCGTTCGTCTGGACCGGCTGCTTGATAGACTTTACGATTGAGTTTTGCAGGTCGCGCACGTCGATCAGTACAAGAACGTATCGATGGATTACAGTGTGTATGATACAAAGCGAGACGAACCTGGGTGGTCTTGTTCGTGACTGCGAATTTGTTCCTGGCGACGAAGATGGCCACATGGCCACTTCCACGCTTGCCGTATGTAGACGAGTCCTTCACTTCCCCAACGGCATCATTCGGCTGGGCCGAGAGCTCGAACAAGCCATTATCCGACGAAATCCTCAACACGATGGCACGCTCCGCAGGATTGTAGCGGAGCGTCCACGGAGGGACGTATGGGCTCCCAAACCTGCGGACGCTGAGCAGACCGAAATCCGAGCCAGTGCTGATGTCGTATGAGTGCACATACTTGTCCTGCACGTAGAAGACAGAGTCGCCATGCACCGCAAAGGCAGGTCACCCATGCTCAAGCTTGAAGACGATCAAGGCGTTGTCGTAGCCATCTTACGGGGAACTATGATCATACAGCGAGCAAGAACGTACCTTCGGGTTTCGACCCTTCTTGTCCGCTTGTTCGCCCTCACGTACCTGACTTCCCTCCTCGTCCGTTGCACGACCCTCTCGAGGTTCACCCGACTGGACGGGCTACAAGTCAACCGCCGAGTGAGAAAGAATACATCTGAGAGCACAGGTGAGTAGATGGGAAAGTAGACTGCCGACCAAGATTGTAGAGAGGTGGTTGAATGCGGACAGGCGGGAAGGGAGACCTGAGCGAGTGGGCGGGGTGCAAGCGGGCGGCCGAGTGGGCGGTCGGACGACTGGACGTGCGACAAGTCGACGGCTGGGAGAGAAAGAAAGAAGCCGAAAGCACTAGTGAGCTCACGAAAAGGAAGGCTACCGAGCAAGGTCGTAGTGGGACGGTAGAAGGCGAGCAGGCGAGAAGGCAGGTGAGCGAGGTAGGAGAGGTGGTGTGGAGTTGTTGACGAGGACCGAAGTGCGAGGCGCCCATTCCGGAGGATGCCGAGTGAAGTTGGCGATCGCACGGTTGAGTGAAGCAATAAAATACGATTTGAAGAGCGATGAAGTTCCGTTGAAGTATCGTTGAGGATGACATGAATACTTGACAGAGTTCCAAATAGTAGAGATCAAACATTGTTCAGTTCGTACTAAAGTTCTATGTAAGTATTCTACCACAGTGTCTGATACGCATACTTAGATGCCCAGTTATTAAGCCAAAACTTAGTAGCTTTATCTAGTACAGTATGCGTGTCCCAGTCATCAGGTACTACTAAGTTATCGGTGCGTGTAGACCCAGGGGGACGTGGAACAAGTTGACAGGATTGTCGGATAATTGACAATGGAATAACCTCACCGACGGGGTTGCCATTCGCACGAAGGGGCGGTTTATGAACCGGGTACATCATGTGTATCGGATCGGCTTGTGTAGGTAGATTGGAGTACCATTCTACGTATGCTAGAGCCCCTTGGCTAGCCCAATTGGGCGGCGCTTGCAGAGGTCGGAGGGTACGGGGATCTCTGATGTTTTGAGGAAGTTTGAATATAACTTTGACACGTCCAATACGTGTGCCTGTGGACGAATAGGACATGAGTAAGAAGCTATGACTCAGACGTGAATAGAAACAAATCTACTCACCTTGCATGCCAGTAGCTTCCGCGTCCTCCCCCTGCAGCACAACCACGGTATCGAAACGTGCGGCTTGTCCAGCTTTGGCGGGCTTCGCCTTCACGGCGTCGGTTTCTTGGGTGTCATCGGTCAAGGATTCGGGGGTAAACTTGAAGCCGTGGAATACGTCAAGACGTTGGAACGGCATGTGGTCGACAGCTGTTTTAAGCAGTGAGGAAGTGAGAGGTCGACCGTCCTTGAGCTTGTAGATGTATTGTGCGACTGCATCAACGAAGCCTGGGGCGCGGTGTTTGTCGACAATGGATGAGAGAGCCTGGAGGGGTGCAGTGGGGTGCTTGGGTAGGTTAATTCGACCGTTCTTGAAGATCCGAGAGCCTGGTATTTTCTCTGGCTCCTGGTCTTCTGCGTCACTGACATCGATGTCATCCCCTGGCTCGAGACCGGTATTCCTGAGCCATCGGCGTATGGTAGAGCTGAGCACGACCATCTTCTCCTGTCGTGCCAGCCAACGAACCATCTGCGGACGCGCGTTGCGATGGTTCGACGCTCGCCAGCCGTTCTTCGCATAGTCGATGTGGAGGCGTTCAAACGCCTCCGTGTTGTAGTTGTCGGTAGTGCCTAAGAGTCGGATAGCGTCAACGTAATGAAGTAATGAGTGGAATTTAGGAATATTCAGATGGTCGCGCACTCCGAGATCTACGAGGATTTGTTTGTTGCGATGGAAAACCTTGAGTGCGTCCTCCATGTATTGGAGCGTAGTGTCGTCGTGAGTGGTGTATTGCGCTATGTAGATGAAGTCCAAAATCGACCTGAAGGCCAGGATGGCCTTCTTCGGTATCTTGCCGACCAGGCAGGCAAGCAGAATGCGCGCCATGTGCTTACGCTCGGTCCCGGAGACCTGGGATAGGGAGGAAATCCCGTTCTTGAAGTGGCGGGTACCGAACGCAGGCGGAAGGCAGCGGATGCGCCTGTCGAGCTCGTGCTCGTCGACAAGTTGAGTGCACCATTCGACGATGTGCTTAAAAACACCCTGGTACAATTGATGTAGTACGTCAGGGGTTATGCACGAATGGATGTCGGTGTACGGAAGATCGCGCCAGAACGGGCGCACGACGTAGCCTGAAACGTTGAGGTCTTGACACGCTCGAGTGTACGCGTTCGAGCTCGTCTTGCCTTGGGTCTTCTGGTTGGCGAGTCGGAGTACGTCTAGCGTCCAGAGGGAGGTTCTGGGCATCCCAGGTTGCGCGGACTCAAGGAGGTCCTCAGGTACCTGGCACTTGGGGCAAGTCCCAGATTTGGCGCAGGTGACCAGGCACTGCTCTGGATAATCCGCGACATACGCGGCAAGGACGGGATGCACTCGACGAACCTCTCCGTCGCCTGAGGTTACGTCGATGCCTTCCTTACCCGCCTTGACTAGCGGCTCCAGGATTGCGCCAACGGACGCATGGAACAGTTGTTGTACGAGGGCGCGTTGCTTGCGCTGCGTGATGCCGTCCGAGCTGACTTTGTCCACCGACAGATAACCTATGAGTATGCAGGCGTGCTCTGAGGGCTTGCGCCTCAGAGCCCGAGGTATATTACCTAGCGTCATGTATACAGGGTACGCCGCCTGTTGCCAGAGAACTGAGTTAACTGGGTTTTGTCCGTAGCTATGATTACCGGCGCAACAGCCGCGCCTACCGGTAAGAGACTCTGTACTGCAATCAGAAAAATCGATCTTCTACGGTCGTGTAAGTACTCACCTGGACGGCGTGCCACCCAACGACCGGTCCACATTTCATTGTACAGTCGGTGCTTCCTTGACGCGTCTGAAAACAATCGGCGCGGTCAATACACGATTCGATCGGCGTGCTCCGGGTTGCCTAGTAATGTACGTATCGCCTGGATGATATCGCGGAACTGTAGTAGGTGTTTTTCATTAGGACGATCCTTGAATGAGAGCAGGCGTTCTGTCCACTCCGCTCTCTCAGGCAGAGAGTCCACGCGCTGGAGGAGAGCCCGCTGTTGTGGT